GGTCGGTAAGTCTGGGACCCTCAGGCTTCGGTAGCACTGGGAGGGATGGGAAAGGGGTATCCTTGTCCTCCATCGTCGTTGATCTTATCCTCCATCAATCAGTACCAGATTACTTTCCCTCATCAAATCTTGAAAGAAACCATAAGCTCATTCTCATTCCTTCTTCTTACCTGCTACTCATCCACTTCGAGAGCTCCTAACAGGACAAGGAAGCAGTGAATACATCGGAATCCTCTAAAATGATAACGATTAACTAGAGTGAAAGAGCAACAAAACGTACGATCAACTTCCATGTCCCCTTAGCACTCAATCAGACCTGCAACTTATCCACTTGGAGCTTTTAACAAGACAGAGAAAGCGGAATCCTTGTACTCCATCGTCGTTGTTCTTACTTCCATATCATAGTAACAGATTACTCTCCAGCCTTTAAATGTAAACACAAAGAATTATATTCAGTTCAACCCTTGATCTTACCTCTGTCTCATCCACTTTAACGACTTCGGACAGGAAAAGGAAACAGTGAACACATCTGAATCCACTGAAATAACAACAATCAACACATGAAAGATATCCAAAAGACAAACGAACAACTTCCCAAAAATTGCCCCAACAGTGCGAGAAGCTACGAACCCAGTCGTCGCAGATGTCATCCTGGATCACTCAGTAGTAGATGACTGTTCTGCCTGCTTGAACATCTGTAAATGAAATAAATGAGTTTTAACCAAACGTAACGACCTGCTACTCAATCCCTTATTTATATAAGATCAGGTGGAGGTTCAGGACGAGATATAAGTGAATGATCTAAAAGAAACTGAGAATAATAGTCGGTCAAGTCAGATCATACATATTGAGACTTACGATTGAAATCCCAACCAGGCCTTGACGTCCTACTCTCCTTCCATGAGTACAATCGTCTCTAAAACCAAGAAAATGAGAATAACATTGACACTTACTCGCCTTTCCTTATAGGAAGTATACTACTCGACCACAGAACTCCTCTCATCTTGCAATATCTCCAGTTTTCACTGATGATCACAACAAAAAAAGAGATCTGAGAACGATCAAATTTGCGCTGAGTTACAACCATTTGACTGCTTAGGGTAGGTGATGTGCCAACGCTCCATGTGATATTTGCATTTTCACGAATGACCCTTTCATTTCTCATCTGAAGGATTAGTGCGCAGTCGTGCGATAGAGCACGGAATAAAACTCTTACCAATTTCATTCTCAACTTCCTTCTAGAGTGAGCGGTGTCAATGACTCAATAGTAGGTAGAAACTCATAACTCAGCTCAAACTAGTCCAAATCGTATTTTTTTTAATTGGTCCCTGAAATGAGACAAACATGAATATCGAAAGATTAACCATAAGCAATGAATTGTTCCCATCACTATCATTAAATACTTAATCTGGTGGGTACAAACGATAAACCACTGCCTTTACTTAACTCATCAACTGAAAAAACACAATGAAGATCTACCCTGTAGCAGCATAGTGCATTGGTACGGAACGGAAAGAGGAATCCTTTTGTTGCTTCGTCGTTGTTCCTATCATCCACCAACATCAGCAGATTGAATTCTTTCCTGAAAATCTGAAAACACGGAATTACATTTGGCTCAAACTAAAACCATACCTGCTGCTCATTCACTTCCGGAACTTCGGACAAATAAGGAGAAAACACATCAGAGCCCACTGGAAATTCAAAAATTGAAATAAGACGTACGATTAACTTCCAAGTCCCCTCAACAATGTGAGAAGCTACGAACCTAGTCGTTGCTGGAGACATCCTTCACCACACAGTAGTAGATGACTGTTCTGCATGCCTTAACATCTGAAACTGAAAAACTGAGTTTTAACCAGGCGTAACAAGCTGTTACTCATTCCCTTGGTTGCTTATGATTCGGTGGGAGGTTAAGAACGAGATATAATTGAATGATCTAAATTTTCAATGTATACCGTAAGTAAGGAGCCAAGCAGCTCGTTAATCTTTTCACTGCAGAACGTAACAAAGGTCACAAACAAAACTAAACCTGTAATAAACTTTTAGAATCACCGGAACAAAAAACTAAAAAACGTTTGAACGGGACAGCTAACCGAGAGAAAGCTGTCTTCCACTTGTGAATCAACGCTTTTGGAATAATTTAATATTGAAAAATAATATATACAAGACAAATTAAATGAAGAAAAGCTTGAACTAAATTGAAAAAATTTTCAATTTTTGACGAATTTTGAAATTTCTAGCAAATTGGTCTCGACGCGATTAGGTTTTTTAATATTTTAAAATGGGTTGAGACAAGGTGGCCTCGGAACAAAACCAGAAAATTTTATTAAAAAAATACAAGACATTTGGTGAAAAGCTCTGTTTTTCTCCTGAAGAAAACAGAGTTTCTCGCTAACCCACAGCGCTGTTTCATATCTCTCCAGAATCAGAAGCAGAAACTGGGCGTGACACTGATGAATCCTAAACAAAAACCAACATGAAAACAAACAAAACATCAGAATGTGCCGCTGCAACGAACATCGCATCGAAATCTTCATTATCGTTTTCATTTTACCGATTGAACTTCTGAAATCGAGATACTTGAGAGAGGAAGAGCTGTACCATAAGCCAATAGTCTAGTGCGTGAAAATCCGCGAACACATTTCATCAGAATGCTTTCCCTCCCTCCACACATCACGAATATTTATCCCCTCCGAATCCTCTTGTGGTGTAAAAATGCAATCGCAACGTCCACCATCCAGTCATCATCGTATAAGACAGCCCCAGCTCTATCTCTCAACAAATCCAATTTCTATAATCATTGACTAACCTTATAGATCATCTAGAATGAGTTTCACAATGTTGAACTGTTCCATCTCCTCATACAGGCTGTCAGAAGAATCTGACCAAACCTGGAAGAGCGCATACGATGCCTCACAAGGAACTATCTGTAAATGGCAGTACTCAGTCTCATGGACTTCTTCTTCTCCGTGTCTTTACCTCATGTGAGGTTCTATCTAGGCGTTGTCGTC